ACGTCCTGTTCAAATACCAGCTCCACCTACGTTGCTGCTTTGCTATTAATTCCTTCAGTTTTCTGCTTAATTTTGCTAAATATGTGCTGTTGGGCTCTCTATATCAGAATTAAAATACAACTTTGCTAACTTCATCAGAGAGCTTTCTTAAAAAAAAAAAAAGAGTGCACCATTCAGTTGTACCAAGAAATTCAGTTTGCCAAGCAAATAACTGCTAATGCTTGCATGTAGGTCAGATGGCTTTGAAAAGAGGCGCTGTGAAGGTGCACGATAATGAAAATGAGGGTACATGTAAATCTTCGCAGATGCATTCAAAAGAGCAGCCCATAGTCCACCAGCTTCCCTCTTAAAAGCCTGGTGAGTGCAGGCAGCTGCCCAAGCAGAGCTTGACTAGTGGTATTCACAGCCTTCGTCAATGCTGGAGGGTAAACTATTTCGGTCATACTTGTTTCCAAGGAAGTAGCTGTGTTTCCGAGAAGGCTACAAGTCACAAAAAATTCATAGTGAATTTATACTTTGTGCCATCACAGTAACTTTAAGAACTATTATGTGACAGGAAAATCTCTTTTTTCCTGTAACAGGATTATGAAAAAAAACCTCAGTATCAAGTAGTGATTGGCTTGCTTTACTGTGGATCTCTCATGGATGGACTTTCTCTTGGAACAGACTGAGGTGAGGTGTTACCGCCATGCTACTTTTCCAGTGGCATTTACGACTGCAGAGGTGTATGTGCTACAGCCTCCTGGCTGCAGAAACAAGCACTGTGCCTCAGCAGGACACCTCAGTGCCCTGCCGTCAGTATGAACACGGCACTTGGCAGAGGAAACCTGGGCTTTTGTGCACAGGCTGATGGCTGTAGGTGGAAGACAAAACATCACAGCTCTCGGCATCTCCCCCCAGGTGACAAATAAAACATTTCTAGAAATGCTGTTGTACGACAGTACTGCTTCCATTAAGATCTAACCTGCACTTCCCATTAAAAATGCGGTTGCTCTCGGCTCGATGTTGCACAGTTAGCCTGTCTCCATACCCCGCAATTGCCCTCACCCCTCCGCCCGCGCCCTCTGCACCAGAGCAAGTGGGAAGCATCTCTGATGGCTGGTTTTGTCACGCTGCCGTGGTTACCTGCAGGGCACAGCCCCGGTGCTGCGCAGCGAGGTGGGAAACAGGGCGGCGGGCTTTGGCTTGCCAGTGTCAGAGCTGTGCTGCCGCGCTGGGTCTGCTCACGTTTTGCAGCCTCTGATGGGAGTACAGCAAAATCAAGTGGTAGCTCATGCTACTACTATGCAAAACATAGGACTGACTAGATCTCCTCCGTGTGCCCTAGTGCAGGTAGTTATGGCTGTTCCCTAATCCCAGCGAGACTAATGGGTGTTTATGTCTATGATGAGCACATCACAGCCTTTTTCCCTTTTCCCCTTGCTGCCGGCGATTTCACGTCTACTTGCAGCTGTAGACCTCCGCCTATTCAAACACCTTCGTGTAATGACTGGCTAGTAAACCTAAACCAGCATCTCAGGCTTTTCTTAACCCTCCTGTGTGATACGAATTTTCCAACCTATCTTAAGTGATACTACAGAGAAAAAAGTAATCTTTCTACCAAGGATATTGTTCTGTGTTTTGTGGCTCCTAATGTATTCCAGGGACAACCTTATTGAAGGAAAAGATTTTCCTGGCACAACAAAAATTTTCTCAAATCAGCCGCAGCTGCCAGATAGTTTCAGCTTTGAATTGTTTGCATTTATTGGGCCTGGAGTTGGTTCAATGAGGCATTTCATGTCTGCCTTGTGTCAACAGTTTGTGAGCCTTGAAGCAACTCCAGTGAACCCCTCTCCCCCCGTGCAAATTAAAGGCAAGGCTGCCGCAGCTGTAACCAGAGGGCTAGAAGCTGGAAAATGTCACACCACAGTTGAAGTGAAACTGATACAAAGCCATGATGTGATGATCTTTCTTTAAGAAAAAATAATATTCCAAACGCAAACTACATTTAACACTCAACATTTTCCACGTGAGTAATGTGAAGAGGGTTTATATATGGAAGGATATTTTGAAGGTTAACAAATGTTTGTGTAGCTAGTAGTTCTTGATCTTAAGTATTAACAAACAGTTGTTCATTAACAAATTATTATCAAACAGTTGCTCATGCTAAAATACAAACAGAGCTTTCAAGAGGTATCTATTTGGAAAGTGGGACTGGGAAACAAATTGGCTCACCTAAAAAATCTGTCACAGAAGAGGGTGAGGACTAAAAAAAGAAAATGGGCTTCTGAGTAAGATAACATGAGGTTGCCTGTAACCATAGGAAGCTTTCTGCACTTGTTGCAGTATAATGAGAAGGAAGTCGCCAACATACATAATCTATTGATCCACTGAGGTTTTGCAGCTCTCTAACACTTTCCTTTCAGTCATCCAATTCCTCAAGCTGTATGTAAGCTAAAGCATCTGTTTCTCTGGATTGCTGAAACCGATTGTGTTCCATTTACCTGATCTTAGCCTGCAGCTCCCAGGAATTCCCAAAACATGCTGTAGTTACTTGAAAACCTCAAACTGACTCCATAATTTATGCCTGCAGGACAAGAGAGCTACAACAAAAAAAGTGAGATTTCTTTCTCCACATCATGGAAATAAATCCATGTCTGTAGTAACTAACTAATTTGTTGCAGACAAATTTGTGTAACAAAAGTGTGTGGGCAAACAGATGAGTTTGCTGGAGGGCGGTGTTCAGCCAAAGCTTTAGCTGGTAGCCCTTCTGTGTATTTACTGAATGTTGAGGGCTGTGTGCTTTGTGACTTTTTTGTTATTACTGGGTTTTTTACTGCCTTTTACTGTGAAGGCTTTGTTTTCTATGCTGTGGAGTCTGAATGTCCAACTTCAGCCTCCCTGAAAGTGTGTGTGTGTAGAGAAAAACCCCCACAATTTAATAGTGAAACCGTACAAGGTTAGAGTGCTGAAGCATTATCTAACGCAGTGTTTCTCCAGTTTTGTGGGTCTGCTTCTCTTTGAGCCCCTCTGTCTTTGATTACCATTTCCCCCTTCTCAGAGGGTGAGAAGTTCTTCCACATTAGGTGGAAGGAAAAGTGAAAGTAATTGCTGCAAGTATTTACAATCTCCAGGGAACAGGTAACTACCTTTAATTGCTGGCAGCAGCTATGCAATTAGCTGTTCTAGGACTATTATAAACACTTTATGACCCTCTTTGAACCTTCCTTTGAGAATCCCCTTGAGATAGAAGCATCACAATTTGAGGAAACACAGATCTGAAGACAAGCAGAATTGTGGAAAAGCATCTGCACAAGGAACACGGTTATAAACTTCAATCTGACATTGTGATGGGAATCTTTTATTGGTTTCTGGAGTTCTTAAAGCTGTTTTAGGCTTTGTAAGAAGCTATACAGATTGCACTATAAAAATACCGTTACACTAGATTGGGTCATAAAGAGCACAGTCAATAATTATGCACCAAGACAAGGAGTTGTCGTATGATTTTCATTCTCCAATTTGTTAATTCTGTTTAGCTCATAGTCCTTCCATTCTTCATCCAATGACATTCCAAAGGAGCGTGTGTTCGTGTAGCGTAGGGACTTTCTCCACTATGAAGTAAGCCCAATTTTGAAATTCTTGATGGAGCAAATAATACATTGCTGCATATGGTGTTTATTCTTTTTTGTAATGATATTGCAGTCATGATCCTTCAACTGTAAAAGATATTCTCTACTGTGCATTCAAATATTTATCAACTTTGGCGATTGTGGCCCTCTGAGGAGTTATGTTCATGCAGGGTATACCTGGTCGGTCCTGATTATCGTTCACTAGACTGAGTCAACCTTCAGTCCCTTGTCCTGGAAATGCAAGTTTTTGTGTACCTAGGGTTTCTGGTTAGGGCTTGGCATCAAGTTCCTGCAAGATGCAAAGACAGAAGACTGCTCCTCCACAGTCCAGCATCTTTTGCAGGAGATGATTGTCTGTTACATGTAGCATAGGGAAAAAGGAGTAATACTAATTGTATAAATCAGTTGGATTTAACAAGTTTGGATTGGCTGGCACTCATGTCAATGATCTCTCTAGCATCTAGAAGTTAAGACCTAGCCTCTTTACTCATCTGCAGTGTACCTGAGATGAAGCCTACCCTTCATATTTATTTTTTTAATGGGGAATCTCCTCTCCTAACATGGAAAAGACTTTGTCCTTTCAACTGTACAGAACACAGTTTTGTCACAAGGAACAGCTAAGCAGTTAATGATGAATGAAACTTAATACAGAATTCTTGGAACCCAAACTGTTTTCTCCAATTGATATTTTCTGTGCAGTTAGACTTAACCCACATCAGAAAAGTCCACTGCAGTTTTACAATATTCTAGCATGCTTTTTCTCAACACTTGTGTACCCTTAGCAATTTGGCAAGTTTAAAAATAGCAAACTCGTAGAATATTTTATCATGAATGACTCAAACTCAGCAAAGGTTTCCTTGCTGTCATGTATAAATAGCCAAAGATGTAACAGCCAAGAACACTGCTTGGAGCTGAAATATGCAGTATAAAGGAAGGCTCTCCCAGCCTGAGAAATTATCCTTTTAACTGCTAATTTGGCACATGTACGGCAGCTATGTCATTTTTATATAAGAGTATGTAAGAGTAGAGTATAAGAGACTCCTTAAAAATATCTACAACCGGTAGTCTGCTGTAGTAATAGCTAGCATGCCTTACAGTTGCATCATCTTCTAAAATTTACTGCGAATAAGCAAGTATAAAATGTTCTGCTCTAAGAAAAAAAAAAGCTACATTGGATTGCAACAAATACTTACATGAACTAAAGAAGTTCTTGATATGAATTGTCATCTCTAATGAGCTGAGCAACTGGACAAAACTTTCCATCTTATAGTTGAAATAACTGTAAGTAGAAAAAGAGGGTAAGTCAATGTCTTTGCTGCTGTGGTGCAGTTTCCTGAGGTGGAGAAACGATAATGTGAAGCCAATACTGTAACACGACTCTTTATATATTCTTCATTCTGATGATGGCTTGTTCTGGCTTACCAGCAACTTCATTTCTTGCTTATCTATGCTGGAATTTACACTTTCAGCCTCTTTTTCTTGCTCAGGTACACAAGTGCAGCCCACAGGGATAGTGACGTAATCTTCTGTGTAGACGTAACGGCCCCCAGCACACGACGACGTGCGACGGAGGATGACTGTTGGCATGTACACAGGGGTGCTGCGGAAGTGAAAATTCTCCTCACCAAAGATGCCCATGAGGCAGCCTTTGCACAGACAGTATGCTTCAGGAATGTATTTAGGGTATCTTGTGGGATCATATGAAATTCTATGGGGAAGCAAATAATAAAGATTCATTAGTATCTCTAAAAATAGATATATTCATCTTTAAAACATTATTGTAATGTCATTTCACCGTAAACATTTATATAATATTTTTGTTTTCTTTGCCAGGAAAAATAGCTGTAGCTGTTGCTGTCTGGCTTCTTATTTGTAAAGTGTAAAGAAAAAACACGAACAACTTCTAGAACTGATCAGGTCCTACAGTGCATGCTGAAGTATGCTGGCTTTCTAAAATGTGTTCAGGGGTTTAAGCAGTGTAAGATTTGCATTTTGGACTGAATGGGTAAATAGAGCATTAAAAAGGAGACTTGGGCATTTCCAAAGTTTTGGTCTGCCTTGACTTACTCAAAAATTGGTAAATCCTGGTTAACATTACTATTGTTGAAGCTATGACATGATGTTATAAAATTTTATAATTTAAATGGAATTAAATTGTACTATTATTTCTGCAATAGTTTTTGCTCCCTAGTATATTTGGGGTTATAAAGGTGTGTTCCTCTTGAAAGCAGATCTCTGTACTTCTTTCCCCAATTCACCTCCACTCTCTCTTCCTCTAACCAGGGAAGAGTAACATTTGCAAACCCACACTGAGATAAACTGCAGAGTTAATGTTTTTCTGCCATCTCCTGCTACCTTTTGAGGTAAAGCATTGCCCCAAAGCTTCAAGAGTATAGCCTCTGGTTTTTGTTGTCTTACAGTTTGTTTGACCCTTTCTTTTTGCTTATTAATGTCCTGTTTCTGGAAATTCCTGATTAGCAAGAACTGGAAAGCTTGTAACCTAAGTACAGCTCAGATCAACAAAGTGCAAGTACCAACATTCCTCCCTGGATGTTGTTGGTCGCAGAAACGAAGATGTGACACTACGGTCTCAAGTCATACAGCTCCTGGCTGACCTATAGCCATTGTTTTCAGCAAAGAGAGCAAAAGCTGATAAATTCTGCTTGGTTTTTGAAATAAAAGGCTAAGTACACAGTGGAGTACATGTATCGGAGTGTGCAGCCATGCTGCTTATTGGGGTGGTGATGTATTTCTTTTGTTCTCTATGCGCTTTTCCTGCTTATGCTGGAAGTAATTGCTGGGCATGGCTGTAACTTGTACATTATTACAACTGTGTATCATTCCAGAAAAGATGTTTGCACCTCCAGAAAAAGAGGGTTTTTAACATATGTTTAACTCCTATGCCAGCTGTCCTCTTTGTACCTGTAAGCTTCCTCCAGATCACCTTCTGCTCTCACACCATTACAAAACAAGCCCTGCTTCAGCATGGTTGCACTGTCCGGCTGGAGAGGGATGAGGGCTCGCTCTAGCTGGAGAAGCACCGCCAGCCGCCTCTCAGTGCTCCTCCCGCAGCACCCGTCCCCCTTTGGGAGGATGCTGACCCCGACTGTGTTACCAGAAGCACTTGCCCACCCTCTTCTGCCCTTTCCCCCTGCTCCTCCTTTCACACAGCAGGCGGTTACACCTACACACGGTGCACAGCAGGAGTATCCTACAGGCTGTTACGGGCACGCAGAGAGCATGAAGACACACTGGGAGGTCACCTAGTCTAAAAGTCTCCATGAGGCAAGCTCAGATGTATTTGCCCAAGTTTGTCTAGCCTGTTCTTAAAAACCACCAGAGGAGATGCCCAGCCTGCCCAGAGGCTCTGCTGCAGTATTTCACCACCTCTTTATTTGGTAAGTTTTCCTAAAAGTGAAGCAGAGAATTTTTTTCTTACAAATTAAATCAATTATTTCCTGTGTTTGTATGGGAAATTACAGCAGCTGGGGCTAAAAACACTGAGTAACAGTCAAAGATTTGATACGAGAGACAATGTTCAAGCCTGTAATGTTTACTGTGATGTGAAGTGCTGCAAAACCAGTAAAAAATCTTGCACTGGGTTTTAAACCATCCCCTACTTGGGATCAGGATAGGACCACCACACAGCAGATGAAGAGGGGCAACCATGTAAGAAAAATGAATAAATTAAATACTTGTCAACAATAGAATTACTTATGGAATGATACAAACTGAGTATATAATGCCCCTCTTCCCACAGCAGTTTTCAAAATAACCAATTTTGAAAAACACAATGGACTTAAATTTATTGTGTTTCCCAGAACCCCACCAGGGTTTGTACCACCTCCTTGGGTAACATTAGCCTTTTATGTTTTCAGGTGGTCTCTGAGATGAGGTTCCAGCTGTGGAAGAGGCAGCAGAAGTCTGCCTTGAGCTGTGATTACATAGTGACTTCTAGTCAACAAAATCTGCGCTTGCCAAAACAGGCAGCCTGGCTCTCCCTCTCGCCTCTGCCCCTGGGTTGATGCTAATGTTCTTCCGGTCACAGGATGGATCAGGGAATTCATCCAACTGAAAAGTAACCTCATCAAAAGCTGGATTTTGGTCCTTCAGCTGTCTTGCCATGTATACACAGAGCCCTACAGAAACAAGCCAGCGTCAACAAGCAGCTGTAGTTGGGGGCAGAAGGGAGCTGCCCTTTTCAGGAGAAGCAACAACAGTTTATCAGGTTAAAACAAATATGGAGTCACAGCTTTAGCCAAACACAAACTTGATTATTCTATCATCACAGAGACTTTTGTTGTTGTTGTTCTGCAATGGCCATATAATCTGGATTCTTTGTCTTTTTAAGGAATTTGTTTTCCTCACAGAAAAACCTGACCCGTTCTCTCATAGCCAGACATCTGTGATGTCACAGTTACTTTTTGCAAAGCTGCTCTGTCCCATTTATACTTGCTTACTTTCCCCAGGAAATACCTTCATGTTACAGGATCTCACACCAATGTGAAATAAAATGTCTGGTAGTCAGCAGAAGGGAAGAAAGTGGCTTTTCCGATTTAAAACTCAAGTGTGAATAATTTCAGTGGTGGATTGTTAAACACACCATATGTCAAGTCATTGGTATTTCCTCTACTGTATTATCTCTAGGACCTGGTTTATGATGTTACTGCAAATCATCAACACGCTTCTGGATGCAAACATAGAGGAACACTGTCACTGGAATCATGGTCTACAACAAGCTTCCCCTCTGAATTCCCATGTGGCAAAAGTCAGGTATAAACGAGGGGTTTTTTGGAAGGATGGTGTGGTTTTCTACTTTCTGTAGAAAAATCTCTTGTATTGCTAAGTTTGCTGTAGAGGATTGGAAGGAATCAGAGAGGATCCAAACCCAAAGACGGATCCAAAATATAGATGTGGTTTTGCACCCAGAGCAGAACTTTAAGGCTCAAGACTTTTAAGTTAATGCCTCTTGAAATTAAATGCTGAACTTGAATGTCACTAAACTTTGGAGCCATATCCGAGGTCCTGCATCTTCAACTCAAACCTGTTAAGAAAGGCTGTATAACTAAAGCCTCATTTTCATCTTTCCAGGCAACCCAGCCTAGAAAGGGTCTGAACTGGCAACAAACACGAGTAACCCCGCTGTAGAAATGCAGTTGTGTCACCTGCTTCCTCCATTTTCATGTACTCAACATAATCACCCTGTGCCTGTAATGACCACCGTCTCAGCTGCTGAAGCTTGATGCCTCTCCATTACTCCAAGCACTGCAAGTCATGTTTTTATGCCTTCTCCTAGAACAGGGCAAACATGTTCGATCAGGTTAATTAACTTGATAAAACACATACTCCAAGTTCTCACTGATTCCTTCCTGTAAGTAGTGAAAGATGCACCTAACTGGGATGGACACAACAGAAGCAGCTGGGAAGAGTGGTGGAGAACCAGAGAAGGGCAGTTTTCCACTGGCACCCAACTGTCCCCTGCATCCTCATGCCACTTGCAAACTGCAAAAGCCCAGCCATTTCGATGAGGGTTGCCCTTGTCCTGTGAACTCAGGTTACTGGTACGTAGGCTAACTCTGCCTAGCCAGCACTCCTGATTTACAAGCGACAGGAGCAGTGAGCTATGCCGGGCTGCTGTGTTTCGATCTGCTGGAACAAGAAGCAGGCTTGTACTGAACTGGAACTGCTAATGAAGTGTGACTAGTTCTAGACTGCTTTTCCTTATGACCCTGCGAGTGCTTTGAGAGCTCCCAGTGAAAAACAGACTTCCTGCCGTTTATGTACTAAGCCTGGAAACTCAAGAGAAAAGTTTCTGTCAGAAGTAGAATTCTTGCAAAGACTTAATCTGTCTTGTCCTGTACTGCTACTTTCTTATGTAGTATTTTTAATACTATTACCACTTCGTAGTTTCCAAGCTTCTAAATACAGTGGGTCAGATGCTGTGCTGGGGTAGGCAGATACAGCTGATCCTTCAGAAAATCGCTGTTAGCACTAGGCTAACAGCTGGATGTTATCAGAAGTCTAATAAGCAGATCATCATTCCTTTACTTCGCACTCTGAAATACTTGCAGGATTAAGAGCTAACGACTTTTCCCCCCCCTCTTGGCAAGACACTTCTTTCTCTATAGCAGGTGTTCTTTCGTTCACATTATGCTTAGTGTGTTTTAGCTACAGGTACCAAGTACAGTGCTTGCATAAAACAGCCCAGTGCCAACAGAGATTTTCTGAAGAGTTGTACAAACATGTACTCGGATGGCAGTTCTGTGTCCCCTTGTACTCTTTAAAAAACAGCTGCATCTTTGGGATATGCACACTGTGACACATGATAACATTAAATCCTGGAAAATGTCTTAGATACGGTTCTTGAAAATGACTGGAATATTAGCTAAAGGAAAGCCCCTCTTGTATGACTTTTTTCAAAAGCACTGCAGACAAGCTTGGCTTTTACCAGTAAAGACAGACTAGCCCATATTACTTTTATCAAGATTTTATGTAGATGAGCACTAAACCAAGGATGCTTATAAACTGCAACTAGTTTTTGAAAAGGAGAAAAAACAAGATGGGCAATGTTTGAGAGAGGGACTAGCTATCATGGGATTTCACGATCAGAGCAACGCTGACAATAAAAGTTAAGTCTCTCTTTTACTGAATGTTGATTCCTTGAGACCCAGGACAGGAAAGGATGCTGAGAAATTTTGCTGATTATTTCACCTGACTGTACAGCAGCACATGTTATT